ATTTGCTATCTGCTATCAGCTATTACATATCAGATATCATATGTATGTATATATATACTTATGTATATATGTATATAGTATGCTTATTACCAGTAATCATTGTACAGATCATACAATACCTGATATGTACATACCTAGTACTGACCAAACTAGAGTTTGAAACCGGTTTTATTTTTCATATATAAAAACTGATCAAAACCGGTTTTAACATATGAAAATAAAACTGGTTCCAAGCTCTAGACCAAACCACTGACCATACTGTACTGAATATATGTATACTTGTTTAATATTAATAATAATAACCTGATCCATTGGGAATTAGCGGAAATGAAGTTTCTGTGATGTCTAGTGAGAGAGACTTTGTTATATCGTTGATGATTTAACTCAGGGATGTCAGCATTAAGAGAACGAAAGCAAGGATTTATTATCTCTTTCCAAGTATCCAAAATACTAAACCAATATCTCTTATTGTGTCCCAGACACTAATAGAACAAATATTCTTCCCAAACTAACCAACCTAGTACATTCCCAACACACTAAAACCCAAAATACAAATCTACTAAATCCCTAAAATCCTAGAACTCACTAAAAGACAAAACTACCAGACTCAAAGACTAAAATACATAACGTTCTATATATATCTATGAATAGACTCTAAAATAAGCTATATACTATTTAAAGACTAATTAAGGTATGCTTTATACTTCGCATAAACTATTAAAATGTTACACGCAAAAGTATATAAAAGTATAACGATTATACTGCAAAGTATATATGTTACACAAGCGAAAGTTTAATTTTGAAACTTTGTTGCGTCACAGTTTCACATACAGTCATGATATTATTAATTAATCCTCCCGTGATCTTGATATAGTGATCGGGGATTAGATATAAAAGATACATACTGTATTTCAGTGAATTCTAGTTAAAAATCAAAAAAAAAAAAATTCTGTAAAAGATATTTCTACAAAGTTGGAATACTATGCGTGTGATGTTGAACTGTCCTAACGTTACCAATCTAAAAAATTTCACTGGCCAATCAGGTTTCAAGATCAGGTATGACGCCAAAAATCTCAATGAAACCAACTTCTGCGCACTAACAAAAAGTTTTCCTTGCGACATTTTGGTGCTATTAAAGCTCTTTCTAACCTAACTTATTAGCAGAACCTAACCCTAATCTAACAGCAAAATTTTTTTAGCAAATTTTTTAGGTTGGTAACACTAGATCAGTTGTGATGTTGTGGGAAGAAGTTGGACCCACAGGTCTACAAACGGTTAGCTTAGGAACAAATACTCTCGAGATAAAACAACATTTGATATTTATACATAAAAAATTGACATACGAATTGCCATAAAAAATTAAGAACCAAACATATCAATAAGTTTTTGCTTTCACGTTATTTTCGCGTTCCGTGGAACCAGGGACGATGATTTCCTGTGATTCACAGATAACCACAGGATTTCTCTTAATCACAGCCAACTACAGAAACTATTCTTGGTCACCGCAGAACATCACAAAATCCTAAAAATATCAGAATTCTAAATATCGCAAAGATTTGATTATAAATTTATGCCAGAATCGGGGAAACCCGTAAAGTAAAAATAAATCAACGCAAATTACGAGCATGCTCCTCATTGGAAAGTTACGGAATCCTTATGGTTTTGAAAAATTAGATGACCTGATTAATAAAGAAATTTTTATTTATAATCGTATTAAATCACAGAAACCACGAAATGAAATCACAGAGTTGCACAGAATTAGTAAAAAAAAATTTCACATTATATCACAGAATTCATCTTAACCGCGTCACATTAAACCACAGAATGTCTTAACCACACGCAGAATTTAGTCTTAACCACCGCAGAAAATCATCGTCCCTGCGTGGAACGCACCAAATAAACAAATCACAAGTATTCCGGAATTTTCATGATATCCATCGACTTACTACCTTTTGATAATGTATTCGTGATTTCTCGTGTGTTGATGAGTTTGCTCGTGTACATATAATCTGGGTTCTTTTGTGGTTCTAGAATTAGTTTCACGTTGTCGGATTTTAAGAATTGTTTTTTGATCTTCTTATTGGAAAAAAATTTTCCAAGATTTTCCAAATATCATAAGCAGTTGGCCGTTTAAACGGAGCTGAATCCATGCATCGCTTAGCTAATTCGATATAACAATCCGGGGTACCGAGGGCAAATTCAGGTCGTAAACCGTTACAAATTTGTATCGCAAGGTCAGTATCGAATTTATAACCATCGAAAGGTCTTTGTCCGGTTGATACTTCTGTCATAATGACTCCAAAAGCATAGATATCTGCTGCTTGTGTAAACTTTTTATACATTAAAACCTCCGGTGCAACATAAGGCAAGATACCATAAATTCCATCAGAGTTTTTTTCATCTATTTTTTTAGACAATCCTAGATCCGAAATATAAGAATGCATACTTTGGCTAATACCACCGTCTTGTAAAATATTTCCACTATGAAAGTCCGTATGAATATAACTTGCTTTATGAATGTTATATAAATCATATGCAATTTCCATAAGCAATGTTAACTTAATTGTCCAAGTAAGATTTTGAAAATTGTTTCTTAAAAATTTATAAAGATTCCCATCATTGGCATATTGAAATATCATCATATATTCTTTTGTTTTCATGTTTTGAGTCAATCCATATATTTTAAGTTTACTTCCATACAATCTACATCTCATATAATTGTCAAACTTTGCAATTTTAAATAAATATATTAATTCAATGTACAGTATATTTAATTAAATTAAATTATGATTTAACTTACTTCTTTTAAAAAATCAAGAGGGTTTTCTTTAGAACCAGATAAGGTCTTAAGTGCAACAATACTAGATGGTTCACGTGTTCTTATATATTCGTCGTTGCCATTTTCGTCTTTCTTTATTACTTCAATCTTTCGTATACCATCTAACCAGGTTGCAGAAAATACAGTACTGAATCCTCCTTGTCCAATTTTTTTGATATTGTTTAGTTTATCAAATGGAATCCACTCAATCATACTTTCATAATCAAAAGTTCTAAGTTGAAACCCTTTCATACAATAATCAATTTCCTTATTCCCACATGTCCATTCTTGAATCATTAAGTCGGGATCACACGTAAGACACCACGCTTTACTTGTGTTATATTTACCACAATACGTACATACTCCATATTTAGAATTTCTTGAAGTATAGCTAAGAATAGCATGAAATTCTTTTTCATTATCTTTAATCCAGTCTTTGCACTTGTATTGAGTCTTTTGCACTCCGATTCCGTAGTGGTAACAAACGGCTATTTTCCAGATTCCATCAGCAGAGTCCATATTGGCTGATTTTTGATAATATTCGAAGGCCTTGCGTTCGTCTTTTTTGACTCCAATTTCATATTGATAACAATGTCCAACACAATATGCTCCATCAGCAGAACCCATATCTGCTGATTTTAGATAACATCTGAAGGCCTTGTGTTCATCCTTTTCAACACCAATTCCATATTGATAACAATGTCCAACATTATATGTTCCATCAGCAGAACCCATAACGGCTGATTTTTGATAATATTCGAAGGCCTTGTGTTCGTCCTTTCCAACACTAATTCCTTTTTCATAATATTTTGCAACTTCATAATAATATTCACCTGCTTTACGTTCGTCCTTTCCAACTACAATTCCATGTTGATAACAATGCCCAACATTATATGTTCCATCAGCAGAACCCATCTCTGCTGATTTTTGATAATATTTGAAGGCCTCGCGTTCGTCCTTTTCAACTCCAATTCCATGTTGATAACAATGTCCAACATTATATGTTCCATCAGCAGAACCCATATCGGCTGATTTCAGATAACATCTTAAAGCCTCGTGTTCATCCTTTTCAACTCCAATTCCATGTTGATAGCGATGACCAACATTATATGTTCCATCAGCAGAACCCATATCGGCGGATTTTTGATAATATTCGAAGGCCTTTTGTTCGTCATTTCCAACACTAATTCCTTTTTCATAATCTTTTGCAGCTTTATAATAATACTCACCTGCTCTACGTTCGTCCTTTTTAACACCGATTCCATGTTGATAACAATGTCCAACATTATATGTTCCATCAGCAGAACCCATATCGGCGGATTTTTGATAATATTCGAAAGCTTTGTGTTCGTCCTTTCCAACACTAATTCCTTTTTCATAATCTTTTGCAGCTTTATAATAATATACACCTGCTCTACGTTCGTCCTTTTCAACACCGATTCCATGTTGGTATTGCTGTCCAAGTTCATAAAGAAATTCTGCGCAAGTTTTACTCATGATTAATACAATGATATACTGTATTTAATTTTACGCCAATACAGCTTTATTTAATTACGTTGAACAGTGTCTTTCCATAACAACAACCTTAATTTCCTTATTTGAATTTCACAAGTGAACACAAAAAAACTATTTCAACACTTTCTTACTTGCCAGATACGATAATCTGCAGGAAACAACATTATTACTTTTTCAAGTTTAATTTTAAAAAAAAATTATCTAAATGATAATTAAAACAGTACAAATCGTAAGTTGACAGTTTAATGCTTAATTTTTAAAAATAATTTATTACTATGCTTATAATTGTTTATACTGTATAAGATCTTAAATTTCAAATTGTATCTTCTCCATAATTTGCATATTAATTCATAATTTATTTAAAAATTTTATTCATTTGTTCAGCACAGCAAAACCTGTATTTTCAACTGATAAAAGTTTTTTTAAAATTAATTCAATTTATTGAAAATTTAATGTTTATATATTTTACTAACATTAATTAAGAATCATGAGACTGGAAAATTTATTGATTGCTAAAATTTAAATTACCATGCTTTTATATTAGTAAAAGTTTTATTACTTTCAAATTTGGCTTTCTATCGTTAGAACCCATAACTAAGTATTTATAATATTATAGTTCAATAGAATATAGTAAATTAATGATATTATGAATTATGAATGAAATACATTAATTACCTTCAGAAAGAGGTGAATTTAATGATTCAAAATAATTTGGATTTGGCGATGTAATTTGTTGACGATTTATAATTTTATTATTCGTAATAAATTCAACAATTGTTTCTAGATCCTTAAGTTGTTCTGAAATTCCCTTAAGTTCTGGGCCGGAAAGCGATTATAAAATGGTTTTCAGATGATTGGAATGGCGGTCAGCCGCCTGAAACCTCCCAAAGAAGTACCCAAAACTATAGATATCAGGCTTCTTGCTACGTTTATATCCGAAACATTCAGGATCAATTATTTGATATCTCGTCTTTTGATAGGCCAAAACCTGTGATCAATATTTTTTTTTCTTCGTGAACTGGAATGTTTTTGGAGTACTAAAACGAAAGAATGATTTATTGGCTTTTAAAAACCATTATTATTGAAAAAGTGGGTGCAGTATATTTTTCTTTTTTATGCAATATAATTGGTTTGTAAATCTTTTTGTTCAAGTAGGGATGGTAAAGTTCTTAGGTTCGGAACCTTAAGACTCATTTTTAGAACCTAGTTCTTAAAAACCAGGTTCCAATTTTTGGACCTAGGTTCATAGGTTTACAATCGGTCCTAATTAGAGATACATAACTGATAATTAAATTTTTAAGTTTAAAATTTTGAAATTAGATATAATTTATAAGAGTTTAACTACAAATCACCGGCGGTGATCATCACCGGTGTGTAATTAGCCAATAACGATAAAACAAAATAAAAATTTATTTCCTCTACTTTAGGGTTAGGGCGAGGCCTGGGATTTTAGCAAGGTGTTAGATATATGCAAAATTTAGTAAGGAATTTTTTTTGCTAGAATGTCGAAGGTAGTTTCATAGACGAATTCTTGAGATATTGAAAAAAAAATCTTTATTTTGTTACACAAACTAATTTGCACGTTACACCTGATCCAGCAAATTTATTGGCTAATTACAACACCGGTGATATCACCGCCGGTTATGGTTAGCAAAATTCAATTTATAAAAACAGCCGTTAATACGTATAATTTAACCAATATTTAAGATTTTAAAATTTTGTAAATTTATACAAAATCCATGGTAGAACCATAAATCAGAGACTAGTTGATATAACAATGTGACTTGTTATAATATAGTTCGAACCAGGCTCTAAGTTCAGAACTTTTGCTCAAGAACTTGGTTCAAAGGTTTCCTAAAGGTTCTGGCACCAGAACCAAACTTAAACTAACTTTACTATACCTACAAGGTCTCTATGAATCATATCATTTTAATGTAAGAATACGAGACCTTCTAGAATTTTACTGGCTATTCGAATCTTGTCAGTCTATTCAAGCTTTGTAAAATTTGTTTTTAAAGACTCGCGTAAATCTTCATTCGCAAATTGTAAAACCATATAAAAGTCACCAGAAATGTCTATTATTAAACCATACACAGTATTTTTATTAATTTCATATCGATCAATATGTAAGCACAAATTGATTAATCACTATCCATTAACTTTGAGTGATTCCGTAAAATTCAATAATATTTGGTGTATATAAACTTTTTGTATTTCCGTAAAGACTTAAGCTGAATAAATCAATATAATAATGCGTATGTATTACTATAATATCTTGCACTATGATATAGCAAATAATATAATTTCTTACCTGAATATCATTTGAAAGTTTAATTTTTTAAGAGCGCGACGGCTAAACTACAACTTTTCCATTCTGATCTATACACAATTCTGAATCCTCTTCTCCAATTTTTTCAAAGGCAGAAAATTCATTATAGTCGTAATACTCAATGTCTCCCAAATTAATATCATCTTTGAGCCATTCCATATTCTAATCTAATTTTTATATGTCAAATAAATATTAAAGGTTGGATATGGTTGAAGCAAAAAAAATTTTTTGAATAATATTTAAACGCAGCAATGTAAAAATTTTATCTAAATATAAAATTACAAACAGCAGCAGATAAAAGGTAGATAAATAATTCAAGGCGTTATATTGGAGCAAGACTTTAAATATACGACAAAATAAAGAGTACGCGTGACGGTACCTATAGAAGACTTTAGGAATTATAAAGTAAGCACAATTGAAACACTCTTTTCGAGTTATTAATAATTAAATTCAGAGATATTTTTATTGACTTAATTCTAATTACTCTTTCATAATATTTACAAAAAACTTCCATCACTTTTCATTTTACCATTTTAAGTTGTAAAGAAAAACAAAAATCATGAAAGTATGGAGGCTTTGCTTGGCGACGGGAAGTATCCCACAATTTTCCTTTTTCTTCCCATTCCATT